TGTTTAGTGCTTCCTTCAGGAGCTCTTTCAAGGCAGGCCTGGTGGTAATGAAATCTCTCAGCAATTGCTTGTCTGTAAAGGATTTTATTTCTCCTTCACTCATGAAGCTTAGTTTGGCTAGACATGAAATTCTGGGTTGAAAGTTCTTTTCTTTAAGGATGTTGAATATTGGCCCCCACTCTCTTCCGGCTTGTAGAGATCAACTGTGAGCCTGATGCACTTCCCTTTGTGGGTAACCCAACCTTTCTCTCTGGCTGCTCTTAGCATTTTTTCCTTCATTTCAATCCTGGTGAATCTGACAATTATGTGCCTTGTGGTTGCTCTTCTTGAGGAATTTCTTTGTGGTATTTTCTGTATTTCCTGGATTTGAATGTTGGTCTGCCTTGCTAGGTTGGGGAAGTTCTCCTGGATAATATCCTCAAGAGCGTTTTCCAGCTTGGATTCATTCTCCCTGTCACTTTCAGGTACACTGATCAAAGGTAGATTAGATCTTTTCACACAATCTCACATTTCTTGGAGGCTTTGTTCATTTCTTTTCACTCTTTTTTCTATAATCTTGCCTTATCATTTTATTTCATTGAGTTGATCTTCAATCTCTGATATCCTTTCTTCTGCTTTATTGATTGGCTATTGAAACTTGCGTATGCTTCACAAAGTTCTCATGCTGTGTTTTTTTGCTCCATCAAGTTGTTTATGTTTTTCTCTAAGTTGGTTATTCTATTTAGCATTTTATCTTCCCTTTTTTAAAGGTTCTTATTTTCTTTGCATTGGGTTACAACATGTTCCTTTAGCTCAGAGAGGTTTGTTATTACCCACCTTCTGTAGCCTGCGTCTGTCAATTCGTCATACTCCATTCTCCATCCAGTTTTGTTCCCTTGATGGTGAGTTGTGATCTCTTGGAGGAGAAGAGGTGTTCTGGTTTTTGGTGATTTTATCCTTTTTTCACTGGTTTTCCCCTATCTTTATGGATTCATCTACCTTTGGTCTTTGAAGTTGGTGACTTTCAGTTGGGGTCTCTGAGTGGATGCTCTTTCTGTTGACGTTGAAGCTATTTCTTTCTGTTTTTTAGCTGTCCTTCTAACAGTCAGGCCCCTCTGCTTCAGGAATGCTTGCCTGGGAATCACTGTGGGGGCTGCAGAACAGTAAGGATTGCTGCCTGCTCCTTTTTCTGGTATCTTCATCCCAGAAGGGTTCCCTGCCAGATTTCAGTCAGAGCTCTTCTTTATGAGGTGCCTCTTTGGATTATATGGTGGTCAGGGAGCCAATTAAGGAGGCTGTCTGTCCCTTATCAGAGCTCAAGTGCTGTGCTGGGAGCTGTGTTGTTCCATTCAGAGCTACCAGGCAGGGATGTTTAGGTCTGCTGCAGCAGAACTCACAACTGCCTCTTTTCCCAGGTGCTCTGTCCTGGGAAGGTGGGACTTTATTTATAAGTTCCTGAAGTGCTGCTGCCTTTTTTCAGAGATGCCCTGCCAGCAAGGAAGGGGCCTAGTCGCAGCAGTCTGCCTGTAGAAGCGTTGCTGAACTGTTGTGAGCTCTGCCCAACTGTGGTGTAAACTTCCTTGGGGTTTTGCTTACACAGGTAAGGTTAGAACTGCCTTGATAATAGCAGACTGCCTCAGTAATGGTGGATGCCCTTCCCACCACAGAGCTCCACTGTCCTGGGTCGAGCTCAAACTGCTGTGCTGGCTGCAAAACTCTCAAGCCAGTGCATTTCCGTTTGTTGGTCTTTATGGGTGGTGGGACCTGCTGACCTGGATCATCTGGCTCCCTGCCTTTAGCCCCCTCTTTTTCAGGGGAATGGGCAGTTCTATCTCGTAGGCACTCCAGGTGCCAGTTAAAACAGCTGCCCAGATTTGTGCAGGTTTTTGTGCTGGAAACCCATGGTGTTCATCCACTGGTGGGAATCTCTTGATCTGTGGGCTGTAAAGACTATGGGAGAAGCGCAATATGTGAACCAGAGTGCCAGAGTGGCCAGAAAAGGCCTCAATGGCCTCCGTTGGGTCAGAGGAGGAGTCCTCTGGTCTGTTGCACTTCCCGGGTGGGGCAGTGCCCGACCCTGCCTCAGCTCACCCTCCTACATGCGCCTGGGTACCTCAGTTGGAAACGCAGAGCTCACTCACCCTCTGCATCACTCTGGTTGGGAACTGCACTCCGGAGTTGGTCCTATTTGGCCATCTTGGTGAAGCTCCAAATATTTTCAATATGTATTACACAGAAGAATGAAACAGTAAGAGAAATATCAGTCTTTTGTTTTAAAATTCCAATAAATATGGATTTTTTACCTAACATAGCTGGAACACTGTCAATTGTGATAGAAACTAACTTTTTCATATCTAGCTGAAATTATTATTTGACAGATATAAGATTCAAAAATATATGTGCAATAAATTTGATTTTGGGGGACCACAAATTAATGACATTTCTTCATCTCTCCATTTAAAAATGGTTTTCTTTTTTGTGCAGAACTCAGGTCAGTTTGTAGCTGGTCAAAACTTAAATAATAAACTTAGATCCTGATCCTGATCTAAGCTTATTATTTTGGCCAGCAACATTTAATTCTGATTTCAGATGACTAGCTCACTAGTCCTATTTTGCCTATTGAAAGGAACTGTCCTACCAAATTCACTATGTTTTATTTTAAAAAATTCCTCTTAATAGTGGCTCTTCTATTATGTTTAACACCTTTTTACAGCACAAACCACTTTTCCACTTTGCTCTAGTGTCACAAGTTGTAACTGTGACAACCATCACAACATTTGTGATACACTGTTTCCCAGTCTTGTTATTTTCTTTACTCATCTGGTCATAAAGCTCTACTGTTCTTTATTTTTTCATCATTCCATTAGATACTGGGTCAATAGTATGCATTCATTTAAAGTAAAAACATGTCTATACTTACTAAACTTAAGATAATCAGTTCCTTGCGTGGAGGAAATATACATTTTCATTTCCATTCTCCCTCTGCCTTGTGCCACCTAGGTACTCAATGCATACCCAGTCACTGGGATACTCAGTGTATCCCAGTCACAATTCCTGCAAGTATCATCCTTTGTATGTGTGTGTGAAGGGCCCAGAATTTGATATGAGACTACAAGTTCTCAGCACAAAGACAGTAATGTGCAGGCTTGGAAGAGTTTCAGAGGTGATTTGAAGAAGGAAATGAAAAATAATCCACTAAACTTTTTAAAAATATATAGTGAGAATTAAAATGCACTTGGTGAAAATGTCATCTTATCCTTCTATCCCTTGTAGCTCCATGATTCTAGCTCCTTCAGTGACACCTGCTTTTTATCAGTGTTTGCAGCGTAGTATTCACAATGCCCTAAGTAGGGAGGGGCAGACTGTGCTGTCCTTGCCAACCAGCCTCCTCATGCGATGAGAAAACATCTGGCAAGTAGTTTCTGACCTAAACATTTTAATGCTAGTGCTAATGTGTGAACCAGCAGCATCAATTTGCAGAAGTGATACTGGCTTATAATATTATAACTTCTTTGTCTGCTAAACATGAGAAATGTAATAAAATGATGTCTGAAAAGGAAAAGATAGAATATTTAAACTTCTTAGGAGGTAAATTTGACTTTGATGGTGAGGGTAAAAATGTGAGTTTATTCTAAGGGAACTCAGTGACTCTAGGTTTAACCAGCTGAAATGGGTTTTACAGAAACTACCAGTTGGATTTATCAAGGAGAAATAGATTACGTTCAAAAGGTTTCTCTACATTGACTTCTGCTAATAAGATAGAAATTGGATAAATGGTGTCTTAACTGCCAAAGGTAGATTGTTTATTTTTTAAATTACCTTTTAAATGCAAAGCAGAGTTCAGGAGCCAATATGGTAAAGACTAGAAATTTCAAAGGAGGAGCAAAAGCATTGATGATAATAATAATAGCATGAGCCAGGCACAGTGGCTCACACCTGTAATCCCTGCACTTTGGGAGGCTGAGGCATGTGGCTCACTTGAGGCCGGGAATTTGATACCAGCCTGGCCAACATGGTGAAACCCCATCTGTACTAAAAATACAAAAATTAGCCAGGTGTGGCGATGCATGCCTGTAATCCCAGCTACTTGGGAAACTGAGGCAGGAGAATCACTTGAATCCAGGAAGCAGAGATTGCAGTGAGCCATGATCTCGCCATTGCACCCCAGTCTGGGGGACAAGAGCGAAACTCCATCTCAATAATAATAATAATAATAATCGCTAATGTCTATTGAATGAACAGACATTAGTCTGTTCACATCCTGTGAACTTTACATATATGACATCATGTGACCCTCATGATCAACCTGTGTGGCTGGTATTCATATGCTCCCTACTTTTCAAAGAAGAAATGCAAATTTAAGTAATTTCCCCTAAGTCAACCCTGGTAAACTTAAAACACTGGCTCAAATACTGTCTCTCAGCCCCTATACTTACGCAGAAGATTCATACTTATAAGTGACTAAGGAGTCAGACATGCAAGATTAAAAATTGAGAGAGAGAAGAAAATAACTTACCTAGCTAGCTAACCAAAAGCTAGCTTATCAAACTAGCTAAGTTATTTTCCTCTCTCTCTCTCTCTCTCTCTCTCTCTCAATTTTTAAGCTTGTATGACTCCATTATTCAATTATTTGTTTCTCTGTAATTTATTATGTATTATTCTTGGTAACTTAGTGGGCGTTTTGGTTTTATTTTAAGGCAGAATCTTGTGCTGTCACCTGGTGGGAATGCAGTGGCACGATCTCAGCTCACTGCAACCTCCGCCTCCTGGGTTCAAGCAATTCCTGTGCCTCAGCCTCCCAAGTAGCTGGGACTACAGGGGCATGCCACCACGCTCAACAATTTTTTTGTGTGTGTTTTTAGTAAAAATGGGCTGGTCTCCAACTCTTGGCCCCAAGTAATCCACCCAGTTCAGCCTCTCAAAGAACTTAGTGTTTTTAATCCTCTTACTATTTGAGGACAACCACTATTTTTCTCAAGCAAAATATTATCAAAATTAATTAGCATTATTTTGTATATTTCAGACATTATGCTCCGTACTGAGGATTCCAATATTAATTGCTCATGACCTCCTCCTTTGAGCAGCATGTAATCTAGACAGAGAGACGGCTTCATTAAAAAAAAAAAGAAAAAAAATCTCTAACATAATGGGGCAAATACAAGGGGAACTCAAAGAGAGGAGGAACTATCTCAGCCTGAGTAAGAAGAAGATGCTGTATTAGAGAAGGCTGTGTTTGAATGGAGTGTTGAAAGGTGACTGGAGGGTTAGCAGGTAAAAAAAATAAGAGAACGTAGATTCCAGGTAATTGGATGAGCACAGGCATTTTGGATAGAAACACAGTATCTCCAAAGAGATTGGCACAAGTTGTGTGGGCTGGGGTTGGGGGTAGAGGTGGGAAGGGAGAAATTTTGTGAGATTGAAGCTTGGTGTGTATGGAGAGAATTAATGAAAACTGAGACCATAAAGGTATATCAAGGTGTACAGAGTGGCCTTGAATTGTGACCAGGACCATGTTTCCTAAGGTTTAATCTACATTAGGAAAATACTGAGGAAATAAACAATTAATGAAAGAAATTTAAGAAAGTGAGGATATCCTAAAATATTAAGAAATATTCCATAAGACTTGTATTAATTTTGAAAAAAACAAAAATATAAGCTCTGTATTAAATAATATATTTTCTTGTGAACTAAAATTTATCTTTACCATTACGAATGGGATGAACTAGAACAGTCTGTAAAATTAACATTCAAAGCATCAGAAAAGAGACACATTTATATTCTGCCATATGCCATCTGAGCTCCAGTTTTTGAAAGATGGACAAGCTTCGTGCACTGCTCAACGTTTTTTTTTCAATTAATTACCCAATTACTTCACAAATTATATACTTGCTGCAAGTTGTGCTATTTTGAGATATTATTTAAACCAATTTTCCTTCTTCTATGTTGAAAAACTGTCTGTACCAATTTCATGTGACTGAACGCCCTCTATGCAAGTTTTTAATTGAATTCATAAAGTTTAGTTTGGAATTTGTTGTATGTTTTGTTCGCTATATACTTTACACACTCTCTCTTTCTTTCTCTCTCTCTCTCTCTAACAGACACACACATGCACACACAAAGGACTTATACTGCAACTTTCACAAAATAAATTTGTTGATCCAATATAAAGTATACTACATATAAGATTTTACACACACAAACACACACGCACACACACACACACACACACACACACACAATTTCTTCCTAAAGATGTCAAAATTTCATTGCCACAGGAATTGACTTTAGTCTTTCTTTCTAAATATCTAAAACAAGATAATAAAATCATTAATGGAGTGATGACGTTTTTATCTTGGTCCAGAAGCATATACAATGAGAATTTACAAATCACTTTCACATTTAAATCAATTCCAGCAGAAGACAATTTATGAGCCTACTATGTATCCAGCTCTCAGATATCAGTTTGTGTCTATATCAGCACCTAAAAACATGAAGAAGCATTCCTGAAATAAAGCAATTGAATGTTACTAAATCCAATCTATGTGGCTTGAAATATTTAAAAAGCAAAAAGTAACTTGAAGTTTCTTTTTTATCAAAAGACCTTCACTTTATGAAGTAATTCAAAATAATGTTGTTCTAAATAGCAACCTTCTTCTTCTCTATACAAGACTTTTTACATGTATTTTTAAAGAAGGTATTTTTTATGTAAAGTGGAGCAGACCACTGTTTTCTATTCTTTCAGAAATGTAGTCAAATATGTGTGTATGTGTAAGAGTGACAGTAACAGAATGGAACAGAAGAGAAAAAGCCAAATTGGTATCTTGGAGTCAATAAACTTGAAGCAAGGAAAGTGAAAATCATATGCATACTCATAATCTTTTCTCTGTTCTAAAATGCCATTGATTGCAAGATTATTTAGCTTTGATTATGCCAACTTTTCTGCAAAACAAGATGCAGTACCATATTGAATGTGTACACTGATTGCTTGACCTATCCAAATATCAGAAAAATGAAAAATATGAAGAGCATTGAGAAAATTGAAGCATATGGAAGAAACAATTTTACTTGTGTAGTATGTATGTGTGTGCATTGCACATGCAATTGCCTATAAATATGTTTACAGAGGTGAGGGCAAGAGGGAGGGAGATCGATTGCTGGCTAGCATGGGTGCATACAGACTTGCCTGCTTCCATAAATATCTTCCACTGTTCCCTGGCAGTGCCTCAGGCATTCAGCTGCAGAGTGCAAAAAGAGACAACCATCCGCCCACACACCAATACTCTATTTAGTAGTTCAAACCACCTATCATCTAAAACATAGTTCTTTAAAAATTTTAAATACAGCCCAAAATCTGTTACATAATGATAAAAAGGGAAAAACAGGTAACAACTGCAGCATTTTTAAATGGAAATACATAGGCGCTCTAGGCAAGATCTGTTAGAGAAAGGGAGGGCCAAGCTTTGAAGATCTGATTCTCTCCTTATGCCGCATTTGAACTTTTCACGGTAGTTACTACGTTCATATCTGTTTTGTGTTCTTAATGCTTATTATTCTCTAAAAATATTAAATTAGAAAGGAAGAAAGAATGGTATGATTATGAATAAAATCATATATGTTACACTTAAGTCTTCTCTTTGACAGCCCTCAGTTAGACATTAGCTAAGAGAAATGTATAGATTTTCTCCCCAAAATATACTGCTAGTATTTTTAAAGCTTGGAGTGGGGATATTTGAAGTCGAGTGGGAAAATAGTCCACTTACTCAATGTGCTTTACAGAGTCACATATGAATAATTTACCCTGTGAATCCAAAGAAGAATAAACTACTTTTATAATTTATGCCTGATACTCTCTGTAGGCCTGCCTGTGCTTGTATTTACATGCACACACGATTGTTTTATTTTTTAGGAGAAAGAAATGTAAGCATAGAGGTGCACCTATCCAGAGAGAAGATTCATGTTGAGCCTCATGAAGGCTTGAAGTCTGTTTGGTTTTGATAAAGTTGTAATTTGAGTTCAGTTCATGCAAAAATAAAGGAATAAAACCATTTCTATGAAAAATGTTTTGTAAGTTGTATTTTAATAAGTGAAATTTATTTTTTAAAAACTCTAAATATAAAGAAAGACAAGCAAAAGTATTGGAAATTGTGAACCCATAATTACCTATGGTTATATTTTGATGTACCTATATGCATTCCTCTAAATACCATAAGCTCCTCTAGAACAAGAGCCATCTCTTATGTTTCTTTGTATCCTCAGGGTCTCACACACTGTTGTACACAGAGTGGATACTTAATAAATTGTTAATGGTTTATGCATCCATTCAATTCATTAAATTGCTAGTATGTTCTGTGAATTGCTACTGGGGTACTAAGATGAATCAAATGTGGATCCTGTTTTCAAGGAGCAATCCAGAAGGGTAAATAACATACATAAAATATATATGAATAAAACATATAAATAATAAGAAAAACTGAAAAGAAGAAAGCATTATGGTCAAAGTACAGACAAAATTCAATTGGAAGTTCAAAGGAAGAAGTTGGGGAAATGGAAAAGGAGTTGGGGAAATGGGGAAGGAGTTCATGAACAAGGAAGAATCTAATGGTTATTGTACAAAAACATTGAGTCAATGATGTAGTATCACTTTGGAAACAAATATGATAATAAAAGGAATTTTATATGAAAGGATTTAAGTTCCATGGAATACAGAAATGGTTACAAATTGTTTCAAGATTTTTTCATGTGTTCATCTACGAAATGTTGTCTTTCTAATAAGTGTATGTTTTTCCTTGTAATACTACTCATGCATATATAAAATATAAATTATTTGTCTAAAAAGCATTTATTGAATGATAACTATTTTAATATAGTGTACTGAGTACAATAAGATATTAAAAATAAATGAGACATAATCCATGTTCTCAAGGAACTTACTGTTTATTAAGACTATATATATATATATATATATATATATATACATGCAAAAATTATCAAAGTAGAATCTGCTAATTGTAAACATCCTCAATAGTTGTGCTTGACTCATCATACACCTTTATAGGAAATGTTACATGTACAGTTAACTAATTTTCTCTGAGTTAAAATGCAAATGATTCCTGCTTATCAAGGTAATTGATTCCTATCAAGTAAAGACTTCATAAGATAACCTTTTGATGTTATAAAGTTAGGTTTTATTCCTGAAAAAAAAACATTTAATGCCATAATATACTAAAGTTATTCATGAAAGTAAATTAAAATAAAATAAAAATGTCTTTGATAAACATATTAAGTATATGTGAGGAAAACACGTGTGTATGTGTATATTATAATATAAAAGTCACATTGTAAATATTTCTTCGGAAGGACATTTCTGCAATTGTTACTATGGTTATTTTAATTACAATATGAAAGATGATAAAAGCAGGATGGCAGTTTCAGATATTATTAAGTCTGAATTTTTTCATAGGATAAAATACACTTAGAAAATTTTATGCATTATGATTTTTTTAATTGTTTTTAGAAAGCATTAAAGTTTCTTGCATTGCTTTATTTCATCATTTATTTGATCTATTTGGTAAAATTTTGTAATATTCTTTATATTCGAGCTGTGTCTTTCAATTCTGGATAAATAAGCAATTGAGGAGACTTTTAATAACAATAAAGAAACATACAGGCTTGACAATAATAAGATGTAAAATCTAGAGTTAATTTCAGCTAGATATTCCATCATTGCCCAAACAAAGATAATCATAGTTTTGTATCTTTCCAAATTTGTCTGCTTTACATATCCCTGTTTAAGACTTGAAACAGTAAGTCTTAACGTCATTTTTTTCCCTTTGTATTTGTACAGCAAATGACATTGTCCTCTTGTTACCACAAGTGTGTGACTATATGCTGCAGGCACTTTTTCTGTACTTATTCACAATCACAATTTTTTCATCCCAAGGTGTATGCTGGCCAACACTGGACAAGATTGTTCACTTTATGAAAGAAAGAATTCCTAAGAAATGCCCTTTTCCTCTGTGAAGCCATTACAGAACTGGCTTAGTTATTAATCTGTTAAGGTAATCATGTCCTACTTCAAATATCTTCTTATCCATATGCAAATGAATCACATATGGAACTTCATTCATGTTTTTGATTATTGGGTTTATTTCATTATTATTTTTGAAAGAATGTAGGAATCTGAATCTGTAAGTTGAGGCTATAAATGAAACTCTGTCATTGCAATCTCTATTCTCCTACATTCTCTGATATTTCCCCTAAGCTGTTTTGCACCTGACTAGTTGCATGGTTTTCACTCCCATTAAAATAGGTCTGACACTTCAACAGAAAACAAATTGTGCCTGAAATTGGGACTATTAAAATTCTACAGTGCCATCCAGAAGTCAGCAGTGGCACTGCAGAGAGCCTGTGAAGAACAAAAAATAAAAACATGTGAAATGTAATGCTTCATTCATTGTGACACATCTAACATTTTTAAGCTCCAGAAGTCGGCTTCATATAGTTTTGTCAGGTTATAACTTATAAAACCAAGGTTGGCACAAACTAACTGCACGTCACTTGGAAAAATTTCCTTAGGAACTGAAATTTTCTCAATGACAAATATACTCATCTTCATTATAATCAGAATTCTATGCTATATGTAGGATATTTGCAAGGCAATCCAACAAGTAAAAGAATAATAAACATTTTCATTCTCCAGAAGTTATCTGTTCTAAAAAGCAATCTGCAACAAACATTTGCCTTTTCACTTATATATTATATATAGATTGGGTGAAATAATGGCTGTTGCTTCTAACAAAGACCAAAAATCAGGGCAAAACTAGCGCAGGAACTCAAAGGAAGGGAAAAGAAGTTCAATGTCCTTAAAAAAATAACCTCTTTCTACAGTATCTATTACCACTGCCATCAGTAATAACATTCCCCACATCTTCAAATGGCTCCCTCGCGTCCACAATCACTTTCCTAAAGCTCGTGAGACTTTCTGTGTGTGTATACATTTCATTATAATCTACCTTCCTTTCCACATACAAAAAATTTCAGCTTTGGAGTGACTTAGTTCAATTAAATTGAATTCTCAACTGCAACTTGAGTTTTTGATACAGAGGAACAGTGTAAATAATGTCAAGTTTTTGAACTGGGGGGCGTGTGGATAAGAAAATTGATCTCCTTAGCCAAACAAATTAATAGCACTAAAGGAGCACGTCTAGCTTCCACAAAGACTCATTTTGCTGATTCTGGAATAAGACAAAGTAGGCAGCAGTGTTTGAGTGGACTATAATTGCTGGTCTATTGTCTCCAACAAGGAAAAGTGGGTGGAGATGGTTGTTGAAATATGAACACTGAAAGTACTACACATTTGTAAAAATCCCCCTTTTTACTATTGTGTTTAGTAATTTACCCCTCTTTGTATTACTGTGTTTAGTATTTTGTATGGAATGGGTAAGAGAAGGCAGGAGGAGTAGGAGAGGCACCTGAAGACAAACAATAAACAACATGAAAATTTGCATGCAAAGAGGAATCTGGTCGCACTTTAAGAATAGTCACTGTACAAAGATTCAAACTATGCTCTATTTAACAGCTAGAAAAATAACCTGCATTTCAACTGAGTTGAATTCAAGACAGGAAAATTGTGGCTGAAAGTTGTATTATATCCACCTGTGTTTTGCAAGTCTATTAGGTTCTGAATATTTCTTATACTGTTAATTATCTTCTATGCCTACTGCACTACTGAAAACTTATATATGATTTGGGAAACTGTTCTGTAAAGTAACTGTTCATTCTCAACAGGCTAGTTTTGTAATGCATTTCTGAATAAATATATGTTGTAAAATGTCTTTTCCCATATCCCACAGCTCATCATTGTCATGTCAAACAGCCTTCTCTCTACTGGGGTCTTCACTATAGAAGCACAATACCAATTAATTGATTATATTTGTTCAAACGGGTCCAGCAATAAACTTATTATTTTAAGTTACATAAAAGAAGTGAAACAGTCTAAGAGAGATTGAACAAATGAATTTAAATATTTTTTGAATTGCAATCAACCAGTTTTTCTAAACTACATAATCAAAAGGAATTAAAACTAAATTCTCATGCCATACCACACATTATTTTCAGTGTGGGTGTAAAATAGGCACATTATGTAGGGTTGAATAGAAGTGGAGATCTGTAATATCATCATCTAAAAATAGACTATGGCTTAGCTTCAAAGTGCATACTCAAAGATACACTGGCATTTTGGGTAACTATTATTATACTATCACACATAGTTAACTCAAGGCAAAAGCTATCCCACTCTAATTGCCATTTCAAGTTTTATGCAAATGTGTTTTTTGAATGCAGACATTAATGTAATTTTCTGATATTCTACAAGGCCATATTTGGGAAAATATAACTTCAAAAACGCTACATGACATCTATGAAACTTTCAACTTAATTATGTTTCAATAGCTCAATTTCCATGAGTGTGTATTTTAAGTTAGCTCCCTTCTAACATATTCATATGGTGGTTTATCTCTTGTCTTTATCTATTTCTTATAAAACTTAATTTTTTTAGCTAAGAAAGCAAATATTTTGCTCAATAAACTAGCTAATATATTTGTAATTAATAATTCTTACTTTAAGGAGTAACACATTATTTTGTACTTCAACATTGTACAATGCCAGTTCATAGGTATGCATCTGCTTTTTAAATTAAAAAAATCAAGGATTTCCTTTTTTGGTGATATTTGGATATCTGAAATCTTTTCAGCTATCCTGACATTTTACAGACACACAAGCACCTTCAAATCATAAACATTACATAGTAGGTAAATAAGAGTGGATCTGAGAAATAAGAGACCAATTTTAATCCAGAAACAACAGAGTAACTGGGTTAAGTCAGAGTAGAAAAAAATGATAGGAGTTTTCTGAAAATAGTTAAAGTTCTTCTAATGAGTTAATAGAATGAAACATTTATATTCAGGAACTTCCTGATGGGGCTCGGGTACTATGAAGTGATCCAAGTTAGAGAGAATCGTAGGTGCTGGTGCTGATACGCATCGACCTTATGATCCCCAG